TAGCCAGCCTCGCATAGGCCGCTGATGATATTCTTTTGATGTGGGCTTCGGGAGACATGTTCGGCGTGATATCAACTCCCAGATTTTTTTCTCTGCCCGTTTTGTGAAGGACTTCATCTCCCATTCGGTATCCAGTGACTGGCCTCCTAGTTCCTCCTTCTAGTTTCATTACCTTACATTTACTTGGGTTGAACTTTAGTAGCCATTTGTCGGACCATTCCTTCAGTTTGTCTAGGTCATCTTGTAGCCTCATACTATCCTCCTCTGTCCTGATCCTCCTCATAATTTTTGCATCATCAGCAAACATCGAGAGGAACGAGTCAATTCCTTCTGGGAGATCATTTACGTACATCAGAAACCAAATAGTTCCAGGGACTGATCACTGTGGGACTCCACTGGTGACTCCCCGCAATTCCGAGACCTCACCCCTCACGGTAACTCGCTGTCTCCTGTTGCTTAGGTACTCTCTTATCCAGTGGAGTACCTTTCCTTTCACTCCTGCCTGCATCTCCAGTTTGTGCACTAGTCTCTTATGTGGTACTGTGTCAAAAGTTTTCTGGCAGTCCAGAAATATGCAGTCTGCCCAGCCCTCTCTCTCTCTTGCCTGATTTTTGTTGTCTGGTCATAGAACTCAATCCTGTTAGGCATGATTTGCAATCTCTGAACCCATGCTGATGTTGTGTTTCATGTTCTTTTGCTCCAGATGTTCCACTAGCTTTTTTCGCACATCTTTTTCTATCATCTTGCATGGAATGCAAGTTATGGACACTGGCCTGTAGTTCAGTGCCTCCTGCCTATCACCCTTCTTGTATATTGGGACTACATTGGCCGTCTTCCAAATTTTTGGCAGTTCACCTGTTACCAGTGACTTCTTGTACACCATGGAGAGTGGTAGGCACAGAGCATCTGCTCCTTCCTTTAGAATCCATGGTGAGATTCCATCCAGGCCTATAGCCTTTGTCACATCCAAATCTAGCAGATGCTTCCTCATCTCCCCATTGGTAATCTCAAACTCCACTAGTGGTGTCTGGGTTGGTGTTCCCTCCCTTATCTCGGGGACTTCTCCTTGCTCTGAGGTGAAGACTTCCTGGAATTTCTTATTGAGTTCCTCGCACACTTTCTTGTCCTTTTTAGTGAATCTTTCTGCACCTATCCTCAGTTTCATCACCTGTTCCTTCACTGTTGTTTTCCTCCTGATGTGGCTATGCAGCAGTTTGGGTTGAGTCTTTACCTTGCTCGCTGTGTCATTTTCATATTGCCTCTCTACCTCTCTTCTCACCCTGACGTATTCATTCCTGGCACTCTGGTATCTTTCTCTGCTCTCTAGTGTTCTGTTGTTTCTATAGTTTCTTCACGCCCTTTTACTTAACTGCTTTGCTAGCTTGCAACTCTGATTAAACCAGGGGCTTTTCATCTCTATTTCATTTTTTTCCTTTTGGACTGGGATGAACTTGTCTGCTGCCACCTTACACTTCTGTGTAATGTAGTCCATCATGTCTTGAACCGTTTTTCCTCTGAGCTCTGTTTCCCAAGCTATTTCAGTTAGGAATTTTCTCATCTCATAGTTTCTCTTCCGGAATGCCTGCCTCTTGTTTTCTGGTCCCTTCCTTTACATTAACCCTTCTTCGACCAGATATTCAAACAGTACACTGTGATCACTCATACCCACGGGGGCTTCCAGACCGATTTCCCTTATGTCTGAATCGTTCAGAGTGAATACTAGGTCGAGTCTTGCTGGTTCATCATTGCCTCTCATTCTCGTGGGACCCTTGACATGCTGACTTAAAAAGTTTCTAGTCGTCACCTCTAACAGTTTTGCTTCCCATGTTTCCTCACCTCCATGTGGTTCTCTGTTTTCCCAGTCTATCCTTCCATGATTAAAGTCCCTCATGATGAACAGATGGGATCGATTTCTACAGGCAGCAGCGGCTGCTCTCTCAATGATAATGTTAACTGCCATGTTGTTTCTGTCATACTCTTGCCTGGGTCTTCTTTCTTTTTGTGGTGGGTTATATATCACTGCTACTACTACTCTTGGTCCTCCCACCGTCATGGTGCCTGTCATGAAGTCTCAGAACCCTTCGCAGCCCGGAATAACCATTTCCTCGAAACTCCATTCCTTTCTCATCAGTAGAGCCACTCCGCCTTTTCCCCTTCCTTCCCTCTCTTTCCTTATTACAGTGTAGTCCTGGGGAAACACCGCATTCGTTATGATTCCTGAGAGTTTTGTTTCTGTGAGTCCAATTACATCTGGGTTTACTTCTTGCCTTGTTTTTAATCCCATCTATGTTCGAGTACATAACCTGACTCTCTTCTGTCCATTCTCAGTTTCTGTTGATTCCACTGGAGTTGGGGGGTAAGGGATGTCAGGGATGGGTGAACCTAGGAAGGAGAGCCTGGGGGGGTCTTGGGTGTGAAGGGGGTGGGAGGATCTGGAACAGGGGGCTACGGGGTCTGACGTGATGCGGCTGAGGGGATCCGGGGTTGCGGGGTTAGTTGGGGCAAAGGATGGAGGAGCTGGAGGGGCATGTGGTGGTGTGGTGGAAGGTCATGGGCTGGAGTATGCAGGGTAGACTGGGGTGAGTTAACAGGGTGGTCAGGGGGTTGGGGAGGGGAGGGGTGCCTGGGGAGGGGGGCCATGAGGGAGGGGGAGGGGGTAGGGAGGAGAGGTTGGGGTGGGGTTAATGGGAAGGGCATAGACTGGAGAAACAGGGAAGGGCATGGGGTGCAGGAACAGTGAGGGTCAGGGGTAGGGGTTGGGGAAGAAAAAGGGCATGGGGGGTTCTTGGGTCAGGGAACATGTGGGGCATGATCTGAAGGGGGACTTTACTGTCTGAGGAGGTGCAAGTAATTGGTGTGAGATGGTTGAGGGGTTGGTTGGTGGGAGGCTTCCGTTACAATCCTCCCTATGGGTACTGGTCTGCTGGTGGGGGGATTCCCACTCCCCTCTGAGGTTCCTCGAGACACTGAACTGAGTCCTGTGGCTCCCATATCCCCAACCCTTTCTCTGCGTCTCCTCCTTGCTTCTGCAGCCTTCCTTCTCTCCTCCCTTGTCATGTCCCTATGCAGAAAGACGTCTTCGTATCCCCCTAACCTCCCAAGTCTGCTCTTCCTGGATAGGATTTTCTCCTTTATTGCCTCGTTCATGAGCGCTACCTTTATCAATCGTTTCCTTTCCTTCTTGTAGAAACCCCGGCCTGAAAACCTTCTCTGTGTTGCTATTTGCCTCCTCCATATCCAGTCCCTCCAAGATCTCTGTCATGGTTGCTCGGTCCCTCCTCTTCCACTCCTCCCGATTGGATCCCTCTGGTTCCTGTACTCCTACAACTATAATTGTTCGTTTCCTTTCCAGCATTTGCTCAGTGCATTTTGCAGCTTCCTGTGAGGTAGCTGCTTTCATAGCTGTTGCCCATAGTGGTCCCATACCCATCCTATGGGCTGTTCATGGGCCCAAACCTATCCTACAAGTGGTATGGGCCCCTTACCCACCTAACAGGTCGTAGTGGACCCTATACCCATCCTACAGTAGGTAGTAGACACAATGCCATCCTTTTTGCAGTAGTTTACCCCATAAACATTCCAATGTAACATCGTTTTCTGTTCTCGATTCTACAATACTTTCTTTAAAGATTTTTAAAGCACAAACTAATGTAAATAATAATGATTGTTGAAGCACTTTTATTTTATGTAATGAATTATAGTGCTTATTATAATTTACTAAGAACAACTAATATTTCTCATAACAAAACTACGAGCCTTCAATAGGATGTAGCTGATCTGTAATATTCTAAGAGCATGGACAATAGTAGGTCAATTTCACAACCCATGTGGGACCTGAAAACTACAATTTTCATTATAATTGAACCAATCATGACTAATTCTGCTGTCTACGGTGATGGACAGGCACTATGAGACGTAAATTGGTACGTGAGGAAGAGTTTGGGCCTTGAAAAAAATATAACTGGGAATATACCACATATGTACTAATTCATAAGGAAAATATTAACTATTAGCAATAAGTCATATATGTGCTGTCTTGTGCGAGAGCGGGTTGTATAATGGTGTGGTGAACCTTGTGGTCATGTATGCTGGTGTGGTGAACCTTGTGGTCATGTATGGTGGTGTGGTGAACCTTGTGGTCATGTATGGTGGTGTGGTGAACCTTGTGGTCATGTATGGTCGTGTGGTGAACCTTGTGGTCATGTATGGTGGTGTGGTGAACCTTGTGGTCATGTATGCTGGTGTGGTGAACCTTGTGGTCATGTATGGTGGTGTGGTGAACCTTGTGGTCATGTATGCTGGTGTGGTGAACCTTGTGGTCATGTATGGTGGTGACGTGGTGAACCTTGTGGTCATGTATGCTGGTGTGGTGAACCTTGTGGTCATGTATGGTGGTGTGGTGAACCTTGTGGTCATGTATGGTGGTGTGGTGAACCTTGTGGTCATGTATGCTGGTGTGGTGAACCTTGTGGTCATGTATGGTGGTGTCGTGGTGAACCTTGTGGTCATGTATGCTGGTGTGGTGAACCTTGTGGTCATGTATGGTGGTGTGGTGAACCTTGTGGTCATGTATGGTGGTGTGGTGAACCTTGTGGTCATGTATGGTGGTGTGGTGAACCTTGTGGTCATGCATACTGGCTTAGTAGTTGTAGTTGTTACAACGCCAAGTTAGGGTTAGACATGTGGTTAATAATTGTGTGAAATGTCGGAAGTTCAAGATCACTTACATAGAACAGCAGTAGTCTGTAATATATGAAAAACCCTGGAGACTATTGTGGCGGAGACTATATATCTGTGGCCGACGTCTACAAATAAGTGTAGGAACACCTTTGTCCCCTTTGGCTGACGTTAAAGACATTACCTATGGACTGGCACATGAAAATTCTCAGCAGAATAGTTACATATTGAATATATACTTTCACTTGAAAAACTATTAATCTTATGTTGAACTTTTATAATAATTTGTGTAAGAAATAACAACAATTAAGATTATCACAGACCTTTTGTTAGACGACAATAACCGGATGATGTTTGATGTACCACTAGCGCTAAACTGGCTGTTACACCAAGATCTATTTGCTGCTTGTTTTACCAAAACCTTATGGCTCACTGGTTTACCAAAAGCTGTAGGCTGGAGAGTTGCTAAGGATAGTTTGTCTCTGATTACTTATCACAGCACACCAGGCCACACTCTCAATGTAACCAACTGTCACACTCAGGACAAGGCCCTGTGGTCACACTATGGTCAGTACCTTCTGGACACCAGGTACAGTGTTCACAACAGATAAAATCAATACATGCTGGTAAAACCCAAAGCAAGACACTTCACTACACACGAGAACTGTTAACAGTACACTACTCACAACTACACTGGCGTCAACTGTGACACCAAATAAGGGCAAACATGTCGCCGCTACGCAGTATCCATATCGAGGTGGACGGAACGTTGAGCGACAAAAAGCGGTACCAGTGACAAAAATGTGACTTTCCTTTCTAGATTATCTTACACACTAATGACACAGCTGTGTGGTCTGTGCTCTCTGCTATGTTACTGGTGATATTTATCACGCACGACCGGTCTGTGTGTATTCTGTGCTCTCTCTATGTTACTGGTGATATCTATCACACACTACTGTGCCAGCTGTGGTGATATCTATCACACACTACTGGACCAGCTGTGGTGATATCTATCACACACTACTGTGCCAGCTGTGGTGATATCTATCACACACTACTGGACCAGCTGTGGTGATATCTATCACACACTACTGGACCAGCTGTGGTGGTATCTATCACACACTACTGGGCCAGCTGTAATGATATCTATCACACACTACTGGGCCAGTTGTGTGTACTCTGTGCTCCCTCCATGTTACTGGTGATATCTATCACACACTACTGGACCAGCTGTGGTGGTATCTATCACACACTACTGGACCATCTGTGGTAGTATCTATCACACACTACTGGACCAGCTGTGGTGATATCTATCACACACTACTGGACCAGCTGTGGTGGTATCTATCACACACTACTGGGCCAGCTGTGGTGATATCTATCACACACTACTGGGCCAGTTGTGTGTACTCTGTGCTCCCTCCATGTTACTGGTGATATCTATCACACACTACTGGACCAGCTGTGGAGATATCTATCACACACCACTGGGCCAGCTGTGGAGATATCTATCACACACTACTGGGCCAGCTGTGGTGATATCTATCACACACTACTGGGCCAGCTGTGGTGATATCTATCACACACTACTGGGCCAGCTGTGGAGATATCTATCACACACTACTGGGCCAGCTGTGGAGATATCTATCACACACCACTGGGCCAGCTGTGGAGATATCTATCACACACTACTGGGCCATCTGTGGAGATATCTATCACACACTACTGTGCCAGCTGTGGAGATATCTATCACACACTACTGGGCCAGCTGTGGTGATATCTATCACACACCACTGGGCCAGCTGTGGAGATATCTACCACACACCACTGGGCCAGCTGCGTGTACTCTGTGCTCCCTCTATGTTAGTGCAACCCGCTCTCGCAATAACATAGTATCATTGTGGCCAAAGGCTCATAGTTCCTAAGCTGCTAATGTTCGTAGTTTATCTGTGGTAGATTTCCAATTATTTCCCTATCACCAGGCACTAACCCTTCCTCACGCACCATAGTCTGTCTCATAGTACCCGTCACATCACTGTAGAGAGCATAAGGGTCCGTTTGCTCCAATTTTACACGATAATTGTATTTTTACAGTGAAATTTATGATGTGAAATTTACGTACTATTTTCCATGTTATTCAAGTATCTTGGATACGCTACATCCAATTGAAGTAAATTTTAATAAGCACTATAAATTATTACATGTAATTGTGGGGTTCTCGGAAATAATTTTTATATACAATAGTATGTGCTATGAAAATCTAGAGAGAGGGAATTGCATCAGAATCATCAGAAAACGATGTTAAGTGGAAATATCTATGGGGGGTACACTACTGAAAACCAGATAGATCTAGGGGTCTGTTACGGCCCTCTCGGGTCGCAACTGGGTTCTTACTCTGATGTTGTTAGAGGAAGGGTATCCGGCCCCAAGCCAGTAGTGGCTTTCAAGGGATGAGATCCGTAACGCAAGTAAATTAAAGGGGAAGGGAAATAAAGTCAAGAACTTAATACTATAATTATTACCATCACCAATAAATATATATAAGATTACACACGGGGGGGGGGGGGTATAAACACTATTATATACACTATGTAGTCTCCCTCTGAAGACCCTGGACGTTCACGGTGCCAAGCTCTTGGTGCTCTCGTAGCCTCACGACGAATCCTTTGCGAATCTTGAGTCTACCCCGGCCACAGGCCAGCCAAAACACAGTTCCACTGTGGGCGGCACCGTCGTGGAGGCCGTCAACCACAAGTCCAGCAGATAGCTGGCAGGTTCCAAATCAGCGACGCTGGTTAGGCCACTCCACGAGCGATACTAGGGTTGCGCCCTAGTCAGGAGCCTCGTGTGATACCACAGATCACTCTCCTTTCCACAACACCCCAGTGGTTAAGCGTCTCCACCAGTCAGTCCCGGGTATGACAATCCTTCAACTGCCGCTTCACAGGCAGGGTAACACCACAGTGTTCATCCGGGGGGCGACTCACAGCTGCTGCAGCAAACACTTGGTGACGAGACGGCTGCCTTGGGTAGACTGATCCAACTTCCATTACAGCAGTCCCAGGTCGACTCTGTAATCAGACACGTCATCAGTAACAGTGACACAGAAAAGCACCTCACTTACAGGCTCAGACCCAAACGCCCACCTATCCACTCCATAGATGGCGTTGTCGTCTGAGCACCACCTCACCAGAGGTCAGCAACGGCTGTGTTGTGAGCTGAACAGGACTGGAAACTGGCCCTCGTGGCCAGTACACCTCGTCCTCACCAGGGGTCGTCGTCCATTTGCAGGGGGTTTCGGGAGCTGACCCACAGATGGCGCGGTCGTCACTGCTCCAGGCTCGGACGCTGGATTCGGGTCCGTAACAGGGTCCACAAGAAATCACACGAAGCTTATGGAGTCCACTACCACCTAAAAGGATAGGTATGGGTTCCACTACCACCTGTAGGTTGGGTATGGGTCCATTACCACCAATAGGATGGGTATGGGGTCCATTACCGCCCCATGATTGGTATGGGGTGCATTACTGCCCACGGCATGGGCATGGGGTCCACTACCGCCATCAGGAAGGCTATGGGGTCCACTTCCATCCACAGGACGTGTACGGGGTCCACTTCCATCCACAGGATGGGTATGAGGTCCACTACACCAAAGGATAGGTATGAGGTCCACTACTGCTCAGAGGATGAGTGTTTGGGTTCGCTTCCTCCTTCAGAATGAGTATGGAGTCCGCTATCATCCACATGATGAGCATGGGGGCCACTACCACCCACAGGATGGGTATGTGGCCCAGTACCGGTTACAGGATAAGTATAGGGTCCACTACCGCCTGTAGGTTGTGTATGGGGTCCACTGCCACCCAAAGGATGAGTATGGGGTCCACTATCACCCAGTGGATAGGTATGGGGTCCATTACCATCCACAGGATGAGTAAGGGGTCCACAACCACGTATAGGATGGGTATGGGGTCCACTACACCCACAGGATGGGTATGAGGTCACTGCTGCCCAGAAAATGGGTGTATGGTCCACTTCTGCCCACAGGATAGGTATGGGGTCCACTGCTCCCAAACAGGATAGGTATAGGGTCGACTACCATCCAGAAAACGGATGTATGGTCCACTACAGCCTACAGGATTGGTATGGTTCTGGTACCGCCAATGGAATGGGACCCAAGGTGTCTACTACCACCTGTAGATGGTTATGGGGGTCCACTACTGCCTACAGGATCAAGTACTGCCCAGTCAAGTACTGTCGGAAATCCGACACAAATGTTAACATATTATAGTTACCCATTAAGATTTTATAGATAAGGGAATATTCCGCGGCGTCATCAAATCACGTATATTCACAACACGAATATATAAAACTCTAATTATTCCTTTAAACAGAGTCTAGTGTTTAAACTTAATAAAATAGTATTCACAAGGTTTGAATAATTATACCATACACCAGAAAATATAGCTTTCCTCCCTAGTCCTTAAGACAGAAGGAACCAGCAGAGTATTGGAACAAAACATTGTTGGAACGCCACCTCAAGGGATGAGGCAGGCAAGCCATTGTCTCAGAGAGAGAGAGAAAGAGAGAGGGCTCCTCACGACATGCACAACTCATCAAAGGCTCCCAAAATATAAGTCAACCAACCAAGAAACTGCCACTGTGACCCCTAAAGCAATTAAGTTTCGGACGGTCTTATATTCTTTTATTGGTAGTGATCACTGTTACATATTGGATAGGAAGCCAGATATTAGCATACGAACACCCAAACATAGTGAGTAGTGTTCCTCAGCAACACACAAATATTTCATGTCTCACCTGTACTTTATATGTTGATGGAGCCATTATTAATACCATTCCTTCGCCAGATAATTCGTGATCTGAGCTGAGCCCATATTGGTGAATATAGGAATAAGTGAGCTGGCCCATATAAAGTGTGATGTTTCTTGCTAACCTTGTTGGTCCACAGACGCCACAGTGCTAGGCCGCCATTACATGGCACTCTGAAGCACAAGTGCCACACCCTAACAGAAGTGGGAGGCAACAACTATAACACTGCCTACCGGGCTATATCAACCACACAGCTGAGACATTATAAATTGTATACTAATATACTTATAAGATAGCAGTAATACTAACCAATGTAGTCTAATTGCCACCTTATGGGATATAATGTATGTAAAGTTAGAGGTAAATATTTACAACTTAATATATATATATATATATATATATATATATATATATATATATATATATATATATATATATATATATATATATATATACCCTTTGTGGTATAAGTTGTAAATATACCTTCAAACTATGTGCAGATAAATTCTGGCAGGCTGAATCAAATATACAGTCCGTTTAAAATCATAATTCAATATTGAAGTTAACAAAATATATAATAAAAATAAATAAATGCCTGCTAAGATTTTCCCACATATGTTTGGTCCTCAATGAACCAGATAAACCAGTGGTTCATCAAATCTGGGATGAACATAAACTAATTAGTCCAATATACACACATATATAAATTATAGCAGGAATACACTGCTTTACAATTTTCTAGCCTAATTAACTGAACCAAAACTAACATTGGACAGAACTTACAGTAGGCACTAATATTGTGCCAAGAACTGAACCTAAGAATATTTGTGCTATTTCATTACAAGAGGTTGATAAGAT